GAGGAGAATTAAACTTTTATTTCTACCTGAGGTTTGAGAGGGGGCAGAAGCGGCGGCCTTTTATGCTTTTCAGAGGCCTCTCTACTCCCACGCCTCGCACTGGTTACATGTGCTACATTTGTATTATAGATAGTTCTAGAATGATATAGGGGCTTGGGCTGTGTAAGCTTAATAATGGACTTAGGACATGACTCAGCAATAAGTAATTCATTTCTTTGTCTTTTGGGCCGATCCTAGCGGGATCTTGTAGCGCTGAAGCTATGCTCTACACCGCCCTAATTACGAACGGTTATCTTTAGAAATGACTCAGCTATAAAGGAACTTTCTAGACTGTTCTCTAATTGACCCCTTTTTGTGAAGCCGCACCATTACTAATGTTCTAGAGCCTTCCCAATTAATTAACTGATCCGCGGACTTTTGAATCACTTCATGCTTATGATCCGAGATTCAGATCATCAATCATTCCTTTGTTCCGATTTATTTGAGCTTAAAGTCAAAAAGTTTTGATGAATCATGGGAAAATATACAAGATCCGGTTTTTTAGCATTTTCTCCTCTTCTGATGCGATCAAAAACTGTCCGCCGGGGGGGGAAATACTCTATCATATGGTATTCGGTCCGCCAGACTTCCGGGCGCCAATATATTTCCCTTGAGTCACATTACTTTTTGTAAGAATTAGCAAATAAATATATATGAATTATAAGGTGTTTCGCCGTTTGAGCAATATTTCCGTCAGTTTTGAAGCTTTGAGAATGAAACACAGCCGTAGATAAAGTTAAGAAACAGTCCTTTCAGATGGTAAAAAGATTACAGTCAAAAGTTTACTGGTTCCCGAGATATTCACATATCTTTCCCAATGTTCCTTCTTATTCTGCGGTCTATGTGCTATTTTCTTGTTGTAGGGATATATTCTTTGAATATTACACATATTCCAGGTTCCAGGCATGATTGTAGTAGATTAAATCTCATGCTACATGGGTGTAGATAATTTATAATGATCTTCTAATGTCTGTCCAGTCTCATAAAGATCATGAGATCTGTTATACATCTGAACTTGTCACCTGTTTGTTGACTATTCTGATAGATCATTGTTTTATTCTTTGAATATTATTTCTCCTACAACGGTCTACCACACTCGATCATATCAGATCGAGACTCGAAATTCACGTCAAAATTTTGGCACGAACTACACTGAATACTTGGTGTGCAGTTGAAATTCACAACTGCATTCCACCTGCAAGGCGATGGCCAAGCAGAAAGAATGATACAAAAAGTAGTACAAATACTATGCGCGATGGTTAGACCAGATCAACGCAACTGGGCAGCAAAACTGTCGATGGCAGAATTCGTGATCAATGCGAGCTCGAACACATCGACAGGATTTGCCCCATTCAAATTAATCTACGGCCATATGCCAAAGATGTGCCTAACAGCACCACTCTTGGACTACCCGGGAGTAAATGACTTCGCCCAAAAAGCGAAGGAAAACCTCATGACAGCACACAATGCAATAATACACAATCGCGCTGCTCAAACAATCCAGGCAAATAAGAAATGATGCCTGGACCCGCCTTTGAGAAAAGGCAAGCTTGCATACTTATCCACGGATAAGCTGAACCTACCCAAAGGAAGGGCAGGAAAACTAAAGCCCTTATACATAGGGCCTTTCAAAATTCTGGAAACATTTCCAGAGACATCAAACTACATCCTCAAGTTGCCACCACAACTTGAACAACACGGAATCCACCCAAGATTCCACATATCCCAGCTTGTACCTCATGAGCCGAATGACCAAGAGATCTTCCCAAATAGGGAAGTAAACACATTCTACGATTTTGGGGAAGACCCCAATCGCAAAGCGCTAGTTTGTGAAATCTTAAACCACACGTGGGTTCACAATGAACTCTGGTTTAAGGTCAAATGGGAGCTAGGGGACACCACATGGGAACCCCTAGGAAATTGCAACGACCTCGTCCACCTGGATGAGTACCTCACTTTACAAAATGTAAGGGTACCAGAAAAACTCCCTATCAAAGAAGACAGGGAACTCTCGGCATCACTATGCCCCCAAAAACGGAGGCGGAGGAAGTAAAGCTGAGGGACAATGGCCCACAGCCAAGAGCGTGGGAAAGTTCTGGGCAAGCAACTTGCCTGGACAGCCACACCATGTACTAGAGATCACATGGGCCAGGCAAGTAACTTGCCTAGACCATATGAACCACAGGCTCACATGTAAAAGAACACACAACTGCAGCGAATCCCACACATGCAAGAACAAAAACCCCTCCCACCACCATGAGAAACATAATGACGAAATGTCGTTCTCTGGGGGAGGCAACCCTCGGTTCGATCCAAACAAGCCACCAGACATCGAAATACAACAACCTGGGGAGCAAGGCTCCCTGGAACAACAACAACACCAGGCACAGATAAGTGCCATGGACTACATGATGCACGCAGCACAAATGAGTGCCACGAACCAACAACCATCCGCATTGCTAACAGGCACCACATACCCCCAGCCTCCTCAGAGGGGCTTCCAACAATATGTGGGGCAAACTGCACCGATGGCGCAACAAGCACCATTCCAGGGGCAGCATTTGCTGCTGCAGCCCCAGGCATACTCCCCAGGGAACTTCCCTGGCCATATCAACCCCTGGATTGGCCAATTCAGCCCAGGTCCAACAACACCCCAGCCAAATGCAGGCTGGGAATCAGCCATCGCATCAGTGGTAGCTGCTCAGACAGGTCAGCTCCATGAGGAGCTGAAAGAGATGAAGTCCCTTGTAGGAGGGAGACGAGGGAGCGACAGCAGCTCCTTGTCCAGACCGTCCAAATGGGCACGGTCTGATAACTTGAGGGCGTCAGAAGATGCCTGTGACCATTATGCCCACTGGAGGCGCAAATACAACAGAGCATGAAGAGACACAAGGGCATCTTTGACTCTCTGAAAGACACAGAGACAGAGGTCAATCTCCAAAAAAAGGGAGATCAAATTACTGAAACACAAGCTCAGAGAGGCATGTGCACTGGCAGACCTCGCTGCCAAACCCATTATGATGGGGGCCTCCCAGGTCAGGGGGAGGGGATATGGTGCCGGGGCACTGACTATCCTGCCACCCCATGGGCAGGCGACCCTGTCCGGGTTGCATAAGGGCCCGCCCTCAGAAGGGCAAACCCATGTCGAGGGGAAGAGGGAGAGCGGTAGGCAACTGACAGCAGACCCTAAAATGGGGACCACTGCCAGAGGCGGCAGGTTGCTGAGTACCTCAGCACCCTATGGGCAAGCTACCCTGCAGGGAAGTGTCCACATGCTATACAAGACCACTGAACTCAACAAGTTCAGCAAAGTTGAAGCTCCAGTCAACATAACAATCAACCCCAACTTCCCCATGAGGAGAATAGTGGGGTCAGAAGTGGTGCACAACACCACATACACTTGGTGGACAAGCATGAGTGGGAAAGAATTCATACATTGGTACGAACAGGCTGAAGCCACCTTCAAAAGCGGCAAGGTACACAGAACCCTTCGCAAAAAAGCGAAGGAAACCGAGAAATACTTCTTGGGACTCCCAAGTATTGCAAGACTTGCAGAGGAGTATAATTCCCTGGAGAACAAGGGAAAAATCTCCTGGGAAAGTCTAGGCAAAGCTGCCTATATAAAGTCCCAGTTCAAACCCCTCAGGACTCCTGAGGAATGTGCCACAAAAACTGCGGAGTGGGAAGCGAAAGCTTCCAAATAGGGAAAGAGATGCAAGTCTCCATGCTGGACAACCAGCCCAACTACCACCCTTCCCCACAGGAAGAACAGTAGACCTACCATACTCCACACCTGAGCCAAGTAGCTCAGGAACACAACAACCTGCTCCCACCCAGGGAGCACCTACTTTGTCGAGCCCACAGCCCAACAATGTAGCCCAGGCTACGTCATCGCATCCGATGCAGCAATCAGATGTCCAGATGAACAACCCAGAGGAAAACCCTCCTCCAGGGCAATGACTCCACCCTTGAGAAAAGGGAAAGTGACATGGTAATACGCCATCGAGGTGCCCATGAAAACGCCTTCCCCCAACTTGAGGCCCCGCACACAATACTGTATATGAGGAACTGCAAGTAACAATTGTGGAAATCCCTACTCCATCAAAAGACCCACATCCACCACCGCTCATGTGTAAACACCACTTACACACAAACCCTCACAGAACAAGTGAGGAACACCAAAGACATACAACCTTTGGGTCGAAATTCATTTCCGACAATCTCCACTACTTTTCTCCCTGCGATACCCATGTATTGCCATTCACTTCAAAGTAACGGCCCACACTCACTTATTCCCTAAACCCTTTTTCTCTCCTTCACTGACATGTACAAAAATCGCCGACTTTAAAGTGGCAACAACAAAACACTCATTGATAATTTCAAACTCAATGTAAATCAATTATTAAAAACTTTGTTTTCTTCACCATCAACCTTGTATGCATCGCAAATGCAATGCAAGGGGGGAGAATGTCAGGGCAATAGCCCCGAACCCCAAGCCACATGTAATTAGATACATATAGTCACATGGGTAAGCAGGAACCTCTGGGTAACTGCTTACACACTACTGTAAAATACACACACTTGTATCACTTACGGCTCTGTGTGCTGAGCTACCCCAGAGACCTCACAATGACTTTCCTTATATCAATGTACCATTGACCTGACTGTGATGTAACACACCTGGACCCGGGTGCACCAGGTGACTTCCTGTGCACCGGATGCTCCTAGGATCTCTTGCGGAGATACCCGGATGGGTGTGGCTGTGTCTGTAGGTGACATGGCATTCCCCATGTGGCCTCAACCGCATGTATATAAACATAACCTAAATGGGAACTGAGAAGTAGCCTTCTTCTCATGCTTCCCACTTCAGGCAAGTAGCTTATCTCCCTTTCTACTAATAACAATTCACACTTCCCACTTCAGCCTAAGTGGCCAGGGATGCCGGCCCTCAGCACTGGGTGATGTACCTGGGCACTCTCAACCCCAGGTTGTTCCCTGACACCCAGACAGTTTTTGGCGATTATGAGATTAGCCCTGAATGTGAGGGAATAGAGGAGGATACTATTAAGGCAATAGATGTGATTTCCAGTGGTCTGAAATCTGCTGTCATTGCAGATGATTACCAGCAATGGTTGATCTTTGCAAGTGAATATGTTGATACTGTCATCTGGTTTGCACATCAAGAAGCTTTGTGGAACCATTGGGATGAGGGCATAGGATTTAACACATGTTATGATGTGTTTGAGTGGCTGGATTCAGTGCATCACCGATGGATTTCAATTCCAATGCAGTGCTTGTATGCACTGGCCTGTGAACGTTATTTGAAGTCACTCCCCACAGAATCCCTTGATCCACCAGCACTCCTCACTCCCCAACAGCCTCTTTCCCCTCTCCCACTTGGGTTCACTAAACCCACACCTGCTGTCACATCAATACCTGGTCCATGACATGCCAAATCAGAGATGTCCTCTGCACATCAACCTTCAGTTGATTGTGCAGCCTCTAAGCCCCAGCTGAATCCCATTGCTGCAAGCTCTGATGCCAATGCATTGCCAGCTGTGGCTCAGCCTTCACCCATGCCTGCTGAACCAATTCTGCCAACTCCAACACTGACTCTGGAGAGTCCAAAAAGCCATTGTCATCGCCAAGGCCAGAAGAAGCACCAATCTGAACAGCATCGACCTTCTGTTTCCACTTTCAATACTCCCCATTCCCCTTCCACTGCTGTTCCATTCCCAATTGTCCTCTCACTCCTCCTACCACCCTCACCTTCCGTCCCTCTCCTGCCTTACCTCCATCCACTGCAATACCTACCTTCAGATGTGACCCCACTCCTCTCATCACCTCCTCTACCCACTCCTCTAATCACTCTCCTCCCTCCTCCCCTCTTCTGCCAACCTCCGCCAGTTACAACCTTCCACCACAGTCCCATACCCCATACTCAGACACTGCTCGTACCTTCACTCCAAGATCCTGTCATGGTTCCAACCTCGGACTTTGACTCCACCTCAGCTTAAGTCCATTGCATTGGTGACCTCATTCTATGTAAACACCATTGCCAATATTCCTTGGACTTCTGACTCTGTCTCCACAACCTCCAAGCATACTCAGTACTTTTGCTGCTTGTAATGTATCTTTTGCACTTTCCCCTCATCCTTTTTGGACTACTGCTTCCTTCCATTTTAGCCAGTTAGTCATCAACCTCACTTCACCTCATCCTCCTGCCCCTCTGGGCTTTGCCCTCCCTACCTCCTTTTGGATTTACTGCAGAGTCTAACCCATGACCTTCAGTACCACTCCACTTCCATCATCCCCTTGTCTCTGTTTGGACACCTTTGTTCCAATTCAGACACCCTTTGATTTCCTTGTGCTTTTGTCTCTCCACTATATACAGGCACTTGTACATACTCATTTTGGACCCTCAGTCTAAAATCGACTAGAAATGCCCCCTAGAGACTTCCTGCTCACTGCTTCTGAAAAATGGAAAAACAGCAATGGCACAGCACTCCCCTTGAGTCACTGAGGCCAAGGTCCCTCCTTGCTAAGTCTCTGGTTCCCCTCCAGAATTGTCCACCCTTTCCTAGTTCTAACAGGTGACAACTCAGAAGACAGGGCTTTTTAAGGCAAGCTTGAGAAGACTGGGATGGGAGCTGGGTTGGGAATGAGATATTATAACTCAGGGAACTGTTTACTGCGAGCTTTACAGGGGTCTGAAGGTAAACAAGCATTACCAAGGGGAAGAACAAGTAAATAACAAAGACTCCACAGGACAAATATAGATTAGCAAAAGGCCTGAATCACATGCAAAGATTGTGGAGTGGGGAGACAGAAGAATACCTGAATGGACAAGTCTGGGCTTGGCCAAAGATGTGCAGGTGTCAGGGCTGTTATAGAAATGGGAATTTCCCATTTTTAGCCTCTTATGGGCCCTGTGTACCATTATTACACATATCATGTGACATGTAAATATTAACATTCAACCAACTATCAACACCAAAAACACCCAATGTCAATGTCTCTGTAAACCCCAACTGTGACAACATCTGCCACACTACTCTAACACCATCTCAATGTCATGGCCCCCTCCTGCACCCAAATCCTATAGAAATGGAAGGATCTTGGCCTCAGCAACTCAGGTGGAGTGCTGTGCCACTACTTGTTGTCAATGGGGGGATCCTTAATTTTAGGACTGGCTCAAAGTGTCTCAAGGGGAGGGGGATTCATCTAGGTTGATTTCTGACTGAGGTTACAAGTAATTAGTTACATTGTATATGAGGGAGGTCAGAGTCACAGAGAGACAAAGGAACGGGAACTGAACAGAGACAAAGGGAGCGAAATGGAAACAAAGGGAGCTGGAAGAGGGAACAACACCAAGGGTCCTCAATGGTATTGTCCAGAAGGAGGTAAGGAGGGAAAAGGCCCAGAGGGGCAGGAAGGAGGATGGGAGTGGGGTATGGCCAGCTAAGGTGGGAATCTTGGAGGCAGACGTATGAATGGGGTTTCCAAGGTCAAGATATGGAGATGGAATGGGGTATTGCACCACAGTGGGGAGTGTCAAGGTAGGGGTTGGGACCAGGGAGGAAGGACTGGAGGACTGGAGGTGGTTGTCAGGGCACAAGCCCTGGGCCCCCATTACATGTAGTCCCATTGTAGATTAGTGTCACGTGACAGGCGACGGGTGGAGACCTATCGCTTATCACCCCGTAATACCCACACCTTTGTGACACTTACGGCCTGGTGACCTGAGCGAGCCCCACAGACCTCACACTTTTTTAAGTGCATGAGGTGTGATTAAAACTAATCTACACATCTATTTTTACATCTGTCCTGGGGACGGCACCTGACATGGCACCGTCATACCCCCTAACGGGGAAGCTCGCATCTGCAGCGAGAACAAAGGGTGGCTTTGTTAAAAAGCCGCAATCTCCCAATTTGGGAGATAACCTAAACACTGCATCATCGGATGATGACGAAGACCTGCCACATATTGGTAGGACCTCAGGGACAAACCCTGAGGATCCCAAAAACTTACATGGAGTAAATGCGGGGAACAACACCCTTAGAACCCCATGTGCTAACATGATCTCTCCTAGAAAGAGAGAGTTCTCACCACTGGGTGAGGAGGCAAACATGCGCACACGTAAGCGCGCGGCTGCCACACTAACAGCCTTAAGGGCTGGGTCAGACACGCCAAAAGAAGTCCCTGAGCCCCACTATCCTCAGGGAACCTCTCACTTGGTGCAAGACACTGACAAAAACAGCAGTAACTCCTGCTGGTGCAGGGGGCCGTTTGTGGCCCCAAGCAATGTGGAAAAACTATCCACATCGTCTCAAGTCACCCGCATGACATCCAGCTTGCAAGATTGCAGCAAGCCGGTTTACTCCCAAGTCTATTTGACTGGGAGTTACACAAAACCATCAAACGATCACTCCCACTGGCACAGGGAGCCATTTTTGATCCCAAAAAATGTGGAAAAATCTTTCACATGTCCAGCATCGTCTCGCATTAAACGCGAGATGTCCAGATTGCAATATAGCAGCAATCTGGTTCACTCCCCAGTCGATGCGACTGGAAGTTGTCAGAAACAACCAAATGACCATTCCTGCTGGTGCAGGGAGCCGTTTGGAGTTCCAAAAAATGTGGAAAAATCGTCCACATCTACGGAATCGTCTCGCGTCAGCCACGAGACGTCCAGCTTGCGATATAGCAGCAAGCCGGTTCACTCCCCAGTCTATGCGACGGGTAGTTGTGCAAATCGATCAAACGACAACTCCTGCCAGCACAGGGAGCCATTTGTGATCGCAAAAAATGTGGAAAAAACTTCCACATTGTCTACATCGTCTCACATTAACTGTGAGACGTCCAGCCCGCAAAATCGCAGCATGCTGGTTCACTCCCCAGCCTATATGACTGGGAATCGTGCAAAACAATCGAACAACAACTCCTGCTTGCACAGGGAGCCATCTTTGATTGCAAAAAATGTGGAAAAAACCTCCACATCGTCGTTACCGTCTTGCAACTATAGTGAGACATCCAGCTCGCCGCCTAGGCATGAGCCGGTTCAAACCCCAGTCTATAAGACTGGGAATCATCAAAAACCCTCATGGGACGACCCCCACTTGTGCAGGGAGCCAGTCCTGAGTGGAGGAAATGTGGAAAAAACTTCCACACCACGGACACCATCTCACAACCACTGTGAGACACTCAGCGCTCTGTCTGAGAACGAGTGTACACACTCCAACATGGATATAAAGGCCATGTCATCCAGATCGACACAGACTCACAGGTTGAGCTCGCTTCCAGACTGCCCTCAGATGGCCTCGGACCCAGCGTGGACACAGCAAAGGGACCAGGTGCAGGAGGATGGGGAAGCTCCCCAAAGTCGATTGTCCGAGAAACTTCTGGACTTCTTCCAGGTCCCATCTGAATGGAGGACAGGAAGTGATGAAGAACTCCTTCTCAGGCTAAAGGCCCGAGAAATAATAGGAGAAAAGGTCAAGGGCAGATGCTCAGAGAGCACAGAGGCTCAGGGGAAGCCACTACTGCCAAGGCCGAACCCGAAACTTTTGCCAAAAAAAGCGAAGTCACCAACTTTGGATGAGGTCACCGAAGTCTGTAGGAGTGCAATGCAGAAGAAGGAGCCTAGTAAGGAGAACCCACAAATGAGCGGGCAACCATCAACACCAGGCCCCATCCTAGGCAATAAATGGCCCTCCTCGGTCACTTCACCCAGGCAAAGGATAAGTGGAAGTAACCTTCCGAAAAACCCCTCCAGTAATGCTGGAGAGAACCAAACAAACCCTTGTGAAAACTTCACAAGGAAAACTTCCAGCAAAACATTGCTGGAGGATAACGGGCACCTCGAAAGATGGTACCACAAGGCCACACGGATGGCCGAACTTCTAACTTTCACCCCGCACATAGACAGGGTGAAGTGGGACTGGTTAAATAACGGTCCTACTCGACTCCCTGACACGAAGTGGTCAGGCGAAAACGATACAGAAATTTTCTGGCAGTGGTACACCACACTGCTAGGATTCCTCACATCACGAGGATATAGAGGCGCACACTATGATGAAATCCATCTGAATTGTCTCATCGGTGGATTGGCAGAGCCTGCACTCTCACACGGACTAAAACTCCGTGAAGAAGCCCTCCTTAGAGATAAAGGGGGGAAATTTCTTGAAGTTCTCGATACTCTAATGAGGACATATATCAAGGAGCCCGCCACATTGAAGGTGACGGAAAAATACTGCAATGTAAAGTACAATGCAGGAAAAGGACCCAGACAGTCCTACCCAGAACCATCACTTAATGCTAGGTTTCTGGAAAACATCCTCCCTGAATGCAAGGAGGAAATAATCAGAATGGGATTCTCCTCTTTCGAGGAGATGTTCAGAACAACATCTCGCATGGACGAGATGAAAAACAGGCTGAGGATAGCTCCAGCCTACAGGCCAGAATGCTATGCCAGACCTGAAACCACCGCGACCACAAATCGCGAAAAGCCCAACCAGGTGGGAAAGGAGAAACACGCAGAGGCAAGAGCCAATGTGCAAGATCCTAAACCCAAATGGAAAGGCGAATCCTCCCTGAAGCAGTTAGGGAACACCGACCAAAGGCCGGTACAAGTATGCAATAATTGCAGAATACCAGAGCGGGCAAAGAGCCGCCCTGAGCACCAGTTAGTAGGAGACAGAAACCCAAGGCACAGGATCGCCAGGGAAGTCGACTACAAAACAGAAGGTGAAGTTGGAGACAACTCCGACGAAGAAGAACCGGAGAATATCTCTGATGATTTCAAAGTGGAGGACACCTCCAATGACTTCGAACCAGAGGACCCAAACAAGGGACCTCACTACTCACCCAGAAGAAAGGGCGAGGACATCAGTGTTGGGACCATAATAATGGCCCCAAGATCCGACGTCATTGAAAACAATGACGGAAAAAATACACTAAAACTGGCGATAAGCCAGACCAAAAAAAGAACTACCAACTCTTTGGTGACGACACCAAAGAGGGATTCCCCTGAGGAAAGTCACTCAGAAGACAACACCCCCGAGAAAAAAACCTCGGAGGGAGACCCACTGAAGGAGGACCCTTCGGAAGAAACCACCCCGGAGTCTCCAGAAGAAGACGAGCTCTGGGTGGAGTTTATACTCGGCTGGCTAGCAGCCACAATCCGCCCTCTCCCCAGTAGAAATACTGGGCTGCATCACGCACGATTGGCCGACAAGGCCAATCAGCCCTCCTCATACTTGAAGGAGGACCAAGAATTGGCAGATAAGATCAAGTAGAGATCCTAACTCCCACTTGTGCAGACAACCCAGTCCACGCAATCTTGATGCCAACTATTGGCAGCCTTCCTCTCATACCGAGAGGTTTTCGAAGGTCTACCCAACCATCGACCTATAGTAACATGCTATAGTTTTAACTCCTCAGACTGAGGAGACTCCACGTGTCTGGAAGCGCTCCAGGCCCTCATTTTTTTTTCCTTTCTTCTCTGGCTCTTTCGTTGGGAAGGCCATAAACACGGTGAATGAAAAAGTCACCGATGCTTTGGCAGAAACACCAAAGAAAGAAACAACCCAGTCCTAGCTCAGAGGAACTGGAACTCCCAGATAAATACCATCTGGAAAGCAATTGCTCGAGGAACCAAACTCCTTGAACTCGCAAACAGGGATAAAGCTGAATAACTCGGCCCAACCTATGCGATACCCATTTTAAATCCATTTTAATTACAAATTTGCTCTGTTTCGAGCAATACAACCTTTGTACTAATTCCCAAAGTCCTAATGCCCCTACAGCATTGGTTTCTCTGACTTTGGTCCTCTATTCCATCTCCTTCATGTCGCAAGTGTGTGACATTGAATTGCGTCGCAGAGCGTGACAGTTAGATGTGTCACAGTGCGTGACAGAAATTCCTGTCATGCCTTGTTACATGCTCCCAACCGAGTAACTTCGGGTAAAACCGAGCAACTCAGCTTAAGTCACCTGACATTCAACATGGTGTCGAATCGAAAGGGCAACTGCATGGTCTCAGGTTTAACCCCACTCATTAATGGCGGGGAAAAACTCGGATAAACATCCGAGGGATAACAATAGGGGAGAAAACATCCCCAATACAATTCCTTGATAGGGGAATTCAGTTTGCTTCCGGTGACAGCCTGAGACCTCTGGCTGACCACAAACGCAAACAGATCAAACTGGTATTAGAAGACCAGTTGGAAGGAGTCATCATAGGCATCATGCCTATGAACCCGAGATACTCTCGAGACCAAATAACCTAGAGGAAGCTCTAGGGGGGAGCGACAACCTAGAGGAAACTCTAGAGGGGAGTACCCAAACCTGTGAAGTAAACACATCCCAACAGACTTGGGATATGATTTCATCAAAGGAATTGTCCACAGGCAGACACAACAACGTCCACCTGATCCCACTCAATCATCAATGCATTAGAACTAGCAGTCATGTTTCTTTGCGAAGTTGTATGACTTCACAGATTACCACACTCGATCGCATCAGATCGAGATCCAAAATTCACGACAGAAAGTAGTACAGATACTACATGCGATGGTCAGACCAGATCAATGCGACAGGGCAGCAAAGCTGTCGATGGCAGAATTCGCAATCAATGTGAGCTCAAATACATCGACAGGATTTGCCCCATTCGAATTAATCTACGGCCATATGCCAAAGATGTGCCTAACAGCACCACTCTCGGATTACCCAGGAGTAAATGACTTCGCCCAAAAAGTGAAGGAAAACTTCATGGCAGCACACGACGCGATAATACACATTCGTGCTGCCCAAACAATCCAGGCAAATAAGAAAGACGCCCGGACCTGCCTTTGAGAAAAGGCGAGCTTGCATACTTATCCATGGATAAGTTGAACCTACCCAAAGGAAGGGCAGGCAAACTAAAGCCCTTATACATAGGGCCTTACGAAATTCTGGAAACATTTCCAGAGACGTCAAACTACGTCCTCAAGTTGCCACCACAACTTGAACAACACGGAATCCACCCAAGATTCCACGTATCCTGGCCCGTACCTCACGAGCCGAATGACCAAGAAATCTTCCCAAATAGGGAAATAAACATATTCTACAATTTGGGGAAGACCCCAATCACGAAACAGTAGTCCGCGGAATCTTAAACCATGCGTGGGTTCACAACGAACTCTGGTTTAAGGCCAAATGGGAGCTAGGGGACACCACATGGAAACCCCTAGGAAATCATAATGACCTCGTCCACCTGGACGAGTACCTCACATTACAAAATGTGAGGGAACCTGAAAATCCCCCGATCTAAGAAGATATGGAACTTTCGGCATCACTATGCCCCCAAAAACGGAGGCGGAAAAAGTGAAGCTGAAGAGCGATCACCCACAGCCAAGAGCGTGGGAAGATTCTGGGCAAGCAACTCGCCTGGACAGCCACACCATGGGCTAGACATCACATGGGCTAGGCGAGTAACTCGCCTAGACCACGTGATCCCCAGGCTCACGTGTAAAACCATATGCAGTACAAACTGCACCGATGGCACAACAAGTGCCATTCCAGGGGCAGCAATTGCCACTGCAGCCCCAGGTATACTCCCCAGGGAACTTCCCTGGCCAAATCACTCCCTGGATCGGCCAATTTGGCCCAGATCCGACAACCCAGCCAAACATAGGCTGGGAATCAGCTATTGCACCAGCGGTAGCTGCCCAGACAGGTCAACTTCGTCAGGAGTTGAAAGAGATAAAGTCCTTCGTAGGAGGGAGATGAGGGAGCGACAGCGGCTCCTTGCCCAGGCCGTCCAAACGGGCACGGTCTGACAACTCAAGAGTGTCAGACGATGCCTACAATAATTGCACCCATTGGAGGCATGAATACAATAGGGCATGCAGAGACGCTTCAGCATCTTTGCCTCTCTGAAAGACACAGAGAGAGAAGTCGACCTCCAGAAGAGGGAGATCGAGTTGTTAAAATGCAAGCCTGAAGAGGCACGCGCACTGGCAGACCTCGCTGCCAAACCCATTATGATGGGGGCCTCCCAGGTCAGGGGGAGGGGATACGGTTCCGGGCCTCATGAGGCACAACCCCACATGGGGACTAGTGCACCAAGGGGCGGGGCACCGACTATCCCGCCACCCCATGGGCAGGCGACCCTGTCCGGGTTGCATAAGGGCCCGCCCTCAGGAGGGCAAACCTATGTCGAGGGGAGATGGGAAGACGGTAGGCAGCCAATGACAGACCCCAAAAAGGGGACCACTACCAGAGGCAGCGGGCCGCCAAGTACCATGACACCCTATGGGCAAGCCACCCTACAGGGAAGTGTCCACATGCTTTTCGAGATGGCCAAAGCCAACAAATTCTCGGCCCAACCCAAGCTGAGAGCAAGCTATCACCCCCGGTGATAGTGGACAACACAAGCCAACTCCAAAAGAAGTTGGATGAGACAGAATCCCTCATGAAAAGGGAAACAAGAGAGCGAGACAAGCTCCTCACTCAGGCCATCCAAATAGAGACGACCTGATTGCTCAGAGGTGCCAAGAAATGCCTATGAGAACCGTGCCACCCAGAGGCAGGAGTACAAGATTCGCATAGAAGTGCGAAAGATTACCTCTCTCCAAAAATGAAGAGAAACCGATTTCCAGAAATCGAGGAACTTGAATGTGAGCCTGAGCTCACTCGCGCACGGGCAGAATCCCACTGCCAAGTCCAACATGATGGGGCCTCCCAGGTTAAGGGGAGGAGATGTGATATTGGGTCTCAGAAAGTGTAACCCAGATGGGGACTAACACGACTGGGATGGGATACCACAATTCTCGCTACCCTGTGGGTAGGTGACCCTGTCCGGACTGCAGAGTGGTGCTCCAACAAGAGCACAGACCCAGGTTGAGGGGAGGAAGGAAGGCAGTAGGCAGCCAATAGCAAACCCCAGGCTGGGACCACTGTTAGAGGTGGCGGGCTGTCAAGTACTTCGACACCCTATGGGCAAGTAACCTTGGTGGGAGGCATCCAATGCAACAGGGAACTGTTCAACCAAGATAAGATAAATCTCGGTCCAAAAATCCTCACGAACACTGGGGAACACAGCATGGGAGCTGTGGCAAGAGGAAACAGCCTCCAAACAGCACTGGAACAAAGTTCCGGGGGCTCGTGCTGGCCATGAAGTCGAACAATCATTTGCTCCCAAACCAGGAGCAACTAGTACTCTGTCAAGCTCCGCACTTGGCAAGGTGGCTCTAACCACAGAAAACCATCCAGCTAAACAGCCAGATGAACAAACGAAAATCCAGAGCACAAATTTCTCTGGTAAAGTGGAAACCACTCCACTCTTGCGAAAATGCAAGAATTCGCACACAAAACAGTATGCGAAGCACTGTAAACAATATTTTACAGACCTAAATCATCAATTTGGGGAGGAAACACAGGCCGAAGATGCAAAACATCTTTGGAGAATTTCCCATTGGGAAAACCCGATATTTTAAGGACTTCATATATACCTATCCCTATGTACTGTATAACACTGCCCACTTTAAAAGACGTTCACTCCTTCTCCTTTTTATAACTTGATGTACAACATTGCCCACTTTAAAGTGGCAAACACATTCCTTACTCATTATTCCTTTTAAGCTTAAACTTTCCTTTTCTTTTTATCTTGTATGCGTCGCAACTGCAACGCAAGGGGGGAGAGTGTCAGGGCACAAGCCCTGGGCCCCCATTACATGTAGTCCCGTTGTAGATTAGTGTCACGTGACAGGCGACGGGTGGAGACCTATCGCTTATCACCCCGTAATACCCACACCTTTGTGACACTTACGGCCTGGTGACCTGAGCGAGCCCCACAGACCTCACAGTGGTGTCAGGACCAGAGGTGGGATAACCTCTTGGGAGTCAGCAAGGGAAAAGGTAATGTGGGGCTCCAGAGTTGGTTTCAGAGTTCTGGAAGCCTGGATCAGAGGTTGGGATTGTATGGATATGACAAATAGGCAAAAAGCTTGAACTATGTGTGAGGGTTATGGACTGAAAGAGATGGAGAACTGACTGAATGGCAGAGTCTGGATCTGTCAAGTCATTTGATGGGGGGCCAGAGACAAACCAGAGGTGGGGTGGAGCTCTGGGAGTGACAAGAGTTTGAAGGGACTTGGCTTCAGCAACTTGGAGGGAGTGCTGCACCTGTCATGTCCTCAGTGCCACTAAAGCACACATCATTACAAGTTTCTGTGTAACTGGGATCTACCCACCTGACTCTACAGTAATCCATCCCCAACAACTTGCTCCAAGTATTGAGCAGTCCACCCATGCT